TAAGGCTGCCACTGTATATATTACGTTCTTTGTCACACGCTGATGTTCTGTCCCATGTCGTTGTCAACACATAAACGAGACAATCATTTCTTATAGAACCATGCAAGCAGTCACTTGCCTCAACTGACAGTGTACATATCGCTGCTATTTATACATGTGTACGTACGGTATGTGAACAGGGAGCGGGAAATCACGTCAAGTTCCATATAAGTGGCTACAGGAGGTGTGGTTGATTGTTCTTTGCGTAGACGTGTCACGTCCGGGGCGGAATGCTTCTGCTGCTGCCGATGATGATGATGAGTTTGAGTGAGTTGGGTTTAACGCCGCTTTTAACAGTATTCCAGTTATATCGAGGCGTGTCAGCTTAATGTGGGAGGAAAGCCCGAAGGGATGTAGGTCTCAGGCGTTTACCACTTCGGTGAAACCCACCAGCACGGGTATGGTGATGACAAACCTAGAAACATAATCGGGTCGAACCGGGATTCGAATCCACAATCATAGGTTTCTGGTGTGGCCAAGGGACACAACTCTGCACAGCGCCTTAGACGACTGGGCCACCCATACCCCCATGATGATGATGATGATGAGTGAGTGAGTGAGTGAGTTGGGTTTAACGCCGCTTTTAACAGTATTCCAGTTATATCACGGCGTTGATGATGATGATGATGATGATGATGATGATGATGATGACGACGTAGAGGTCAGGAGGTGTTTACATTTCCAGTCTGAACCGTCTGAATCAAACAACCCGCAAAATATACGGTACAGGAAATTGTGATGAGAAATACGTGACGACTGAGTAACTCGTTGCTGGGATGAGTGCCCGTAATTGGACTTTCTAACCATCCAATTGACTGCAAGCCATTATGATGTCTGTGTTTTCCCACGACTGAATATAATAACCTCATCGCCAATGCGGGTGACATATTTGAACATCTTGGTCTTCTTCGTTGGCGTTCACCATTTGTTCATGAGCTACATTATCATGATATCAGTTTGATTTTAGAAGAACGCCTGAGTCAGTTACACACAAAGACTTTCTATTAACACTGAGCAAGCAACGTGCGTGGAAAAACGTAAAATGACGAGCCTCTTTTCAAAACCTGATAACCACAGTAAATGTGTTTTCGAGGAATATGGTCCATATTGTACCAAGCAACAGCTGAATAGATGGGCCTCCCGTTTCTTGCAAACTGTTCCCTTTTTGTGAGTGAGTGAGTGAGTGAGTTGAGTTTTACACCGCTTTTAGCAATATCCCAGCAGTATCAGAATTGAACTTCACACGTTGTTCCCATGTGGGGAATCGAACATGGGCATTGCCATAACGGGGAAACGCTTATACCACGTGGCTACCCCACCGCTCCTTCTCTTTATTGAACAGTTCAAGCATTGTTGCATGTGTGAATTGTTTGCACTATAAGCGTATGAGCATTTGTGATTTCATAAACAAATGCTTATGATCTAGTCTTAATATTACAACCTACTTATGGTTATAGAAAGGCTTTTGTCACTTCTATTTACATACACATATAATGTCACTTCTGGGGAATTATGTCATTTGTCAAAAATAGTACTGTACTGTAATATAATGCAATGCATGTGCCCGTGTGCCTGCGTTCAAATCTTTTACTATATGACCGTGTATTGATAATGGCTTCATTTCGCATTACGTCTTGGCATTATCAATCACATTGTTATATCATGTTTTGCGTATTTGCTGAATAATAATAATAATAATAATAATAATAATAATAATAATAATAATAATAATAATTAATAACAAACACGACGTCTAACTGTATCGGCAAAGACGGCCCTGTTTTGTTCATATGCTTCGGCTGTCCGTGTTTTTTTTTCTGTGTTTACCCAAGTCCCGTCCGCCCTGAATTTTCATTCCGAAGTGAAATGATAATAAGTTTTATTATCTCAATTTTCCCCGCCTTTCCAAATTCATGGCCATGGAAAGTCATGACCCGATGAAGAAATAATGTAAGGCAATTTGGCCGAGAAGTTTAACTTAAGCTTCAGGTATATTGATGATCTTATATTCCCTGCCACTGATTTACCCACCTGAACAAGAAATAAAGGAGACCAGTGAGACCACCTCATCTGTTTCGTATTTAGATCTTCACAAAAGGATTCAAAGTGACAAAACACTCTCCACGAGACTGAATGACAAGAGGGATGACTTCAACTATTCAATAGTCAAATTTCGCTTTTTGTCGAGCAATATTCCTACAGCTCCAGCCTTCGGTGTTTACTTTTCACAAGTTTGGAGGTTCACTCGAATATGCTCTTTCTATGAATATTTCAAATGGCGGCATGCGACTCTTGCTCAGCAGAAGTTGCTTGATCAAGGTTACAGCATTCCATGCATCAGTAAAGCTTTCAAAACGTTTTATGGCAGACATGTGGAGACCAAAAAAACTGTCTGGCCTGTCCACCACTCTTGAAAATCACATTCGGGAAACCGGTTGAGTAAATTATACAGCTCATCTTTGGACTTTTGTATTTTATCGATTTATCATCCAAAACTGGCTCCAACAGGAGATGACGCTTGGGTGAGGTCAGGCGATATCTACATTATTCATTGCTTGCTTGTGAAACTGCATATCCCCATAACCCGCAAGGCGACTTTGAGATAAGCATTGATCGGTGTTTTTGTTATGTCATGCGCACATCGAGTCCCGGATATATTTACTGCAGGGTGTGCGTCGGGTGTCAAACGGGGACAGGTACAATGAAACGGGGGATATTAGTCCTAACATTCACTATCATTATTCACAGAGTTATACGATCAGTATCCAATGTGAATGATACTGCGTGAGTAAACACTCACTGGCTTGAACATTTACAATGTATCTGGAACCCTGGTCGATCCTAGCTACTCCCACTCCGTTGCCCGAACTGGCAACCGCATGAAGGGAAGTGATGACACTGATCACCTCATGGGAACGTGTCAGAGAGCATCATAGTCTTTTGCTTGGCTGTGAGCCTTCATGGCAAGTGTATCAGCATGTGTGGAAAGAAAGCAATGGGGACCCAATATTTCACGTAGTGGAAACATCTATGATCCTCGTGTTTTAGTACCGGTAATATGAGCATGTAAAAAACATTCATACGACTATATCATGAGCATCTGGCTTTTGGTCAAGTGCGCAAGTTACAATTATCATGATTTATAAAAGAATATGTTGGTTACATAAAAAAGCAACTCCCATCCATAAGGCTTATGATACACGGTAAAAACATTAATACAAAATGAGCTAGTATAGTTAATATGTACAACTTTGTGATCTTAATGAATAAAATAGTGTTACATTTTATATATATATATATATATATATATATATATATATATATATATATATATATATATATATATAACACCACACAATCAGTGTATTCATAAAAAAAAGATCAATAGTTGCTATCCATAATTATTGGATATTTTATACATGTACCACAATGTTCTTGATAAGATGTTTACCAAACTATCTTTTCGTTTAATATATATTAATCTTTCACTCCAGTTAAAATGCAAGTATATATCATGATAAATAGTAATATATATGTTTTTTACATCATTATGCAGCCAGTATTATGTACAATATGATGGCCAGGAAAAGGGTGTGAAAACCAAAAGTTTTACTCAACGAAGACCCAGGCATTTTCATGTCTTGTTTTCAAATAATGCGTTACATTGAAAATCTCCCAATTACATCACAGTTGATGAAATACGTTATTGATTGCTTGCTGCAGTGCGGTTATATCCCATTAGTTAGACGTCCCAATTGTTTGACACTTTTATTTAGGCAAAGAGGGAATATACCTACAGGTGTAATGGATCAGTCCTAATTAGATTAAAGTACTGAGTAGGGATAGGGGAGTCACAGTTTAGGGAATCTATCTATCTTATCTTATCTATCTTCTGGGCCGGAGGAGCGAAACCTAGCCATAATCAACTCTAAAATCTCTTCGCTTTCGTGAAGCTACAGTAAGACTAGTCACGCTACAGTAAACACGGGATATTGCTATACCAGGACTCTCAAATTACAAGAAAAACACAGAAATGCGTATACCGTAATCACAGTAGTAGGTTATTAGATGCTGAAGTATAGTGTAGTTGCACAAAAGTACTTTACATTTAACAAATTTAATAACTCTAATACTTTAATATTTCATAGATGTACATTATAATTTCTACAAAAACAACAATAACTTATATCTTAACATATAATGGTAAATACCTAAATACATTCTATAATAATTGTTTGTTCAATTAAGAAACTGATCATCTCTTCTCCTGTGTTTAAACATCCAACTTTTTTTTTTTTTACGAAACGACTCTCTAGTAAATCTCCTCTCCATTGTTTTAACAGCACGGGCGCTAATCTAAACTACGGTAATTCGGTGTTTTTATAACAATTACTCATTTCTCGCTTTCGTCAGACAAATACCCCAACTTGGGTTTTCGCTTTACTGATCCTAGGGAAAATTGGATTTTCGCTAACAAGGCACGACACCTTAAAGTATCCATTTAAAGCTGCTTTGCTTTGTTTGTCGGATCTTATCTGGACTATTCCATTTTTAAGTCTGAGGTAACAAGCATAAGGATTAGTGTGCACTCAACCGTTTAAAGCGTTGTTACAGTATATATATATATATATATATAACACCAGTCTCATACAGAACACTCACAGCAATCTCATTCAGAACACTCACAACAATTTCATACAGAACACTCGCAGTAATCTCATACAAAACACTCACGGCAATCTCATACATGTCATACATCTATACACATATGCGTCCATATACACACAACGTAATTCATCAATCGTGTATACCAACCTACATGTATAACCAGCATACATACTAACATACCAACCTACATACAAACCTATATCCATCAAACATAAATCAATCCGTATTATACATACACAGGTCCATCCATACCTACAATAAGCATTGATCGGTGTTTTTGTTATGTCATGCGCACATCGAGTCCCGGATATATTTACTGCAGGGTGTGCGTCGGTCGTCAAACAGGGACAGGTACAATGAAACGGGGGATATTAGTCCTAACATTCACATGTGCGTTCCTACTGTTGTTAATATGTTTCTACGTCAAACAACTACCTGGATATACTGGGAGCCAAGTCGGAGAGATATTTGCAGGGACAGGTACTGTAGTTCATTTCTTTCTATTCTGCACATTGTATGGAAAACAACCCCATTTTGGTATTGCGCACTGCTATAATGTGAACACGAAGTTGACTAAGAACTGATTGTACATCAACCTCATAGTGAGTGTTTGAGTATGGCCTTACGTCGCCCTCGACAATAGTCCAGCATTATCATGGCTTGGGATACCAGAAATGGGTTTCACAACATTAACCCAATACTTCTGACGAGTATTTTACTAAACATATCAATTGGCATGCAAACATCAACACAATTGTGTTTTGTACGTGGACATGCTTGTACAGCTATTTCGCTGTCGTTGGGCTCCTTTTTCTGAATCCATGTTACATAAATAGTTGGTGAATTTTAAACATAGTATCACACTGCCAAGATGAACCATGCATGCTTCATCGGCAACTATGTACTGTGAAACTGCGTTAGGGCGTCAAGTGGGGCCTCGTTCCACAAGGCTATCTGAGCGCAAAGGTTATCGTAACTCCCATCCTTTAACACTGGCTTTTGATGGGCGTAGCGCTAAGATCGCTTTGTCATCTATGTAAAGGGAGATTGGTCTGTTGACGCTTACTTCGAATTATTGCCCACAACTCACACTCGCATAACAAAGAAACGTCAAAGCAGCTTTATAATCACATTAGCTTTACTTAGAGTCCATCTATGAATAAACGACAGGATCAGACCCGCTAGACTCGTCACTGTGTGGGGAACCTAGAACGATCGGGGTTGGACTTGATCGGCTGCAAACCGCGCTTCCTTTCCTAAGGGAGATGGTATCATTTTATAGTGTTCGGGCCTGGCCTTTTCTTCGTTACATGTCATCCTAGATAATTTTAATTCGTTAAGATCAATATCAGACCATGAATTCGTGTTTGTGTCGTGATCGGAAAACTACCGGAACCTACTAACCGCTCAAGGATGTCTATTGATTAATTGGCGACAACAACACCGAAGCTATCTCGAAATATCCTGTCATCGTCATGGCCCTATTACTTTCCTGCTTATTCGGCTCTATCGTTTTAAAGTTAATACCATCATTTTAAAGGTCGACTTTGTTATAATGTTCTCAGGTTTGGGGTGCAATTTTACGTTATACATGTAACAGTACTGTCTTTATTGATGGTATGCCTCATTAATTTCATTTGTTTCTTAAATGCAACATATCAGTCAATATGTAAGTAACAGTGTCCCAATAAATCAAGTTAAATTCTGTATTTTGGTATTTGCTTTATAATGTAATCCTTATATTTCTACATTAAACAGAAAACAAATCATCACTTACCGTTTGTTGACAACATTAATTATATCTTGTTATTTATTAAGGTATATTGTTCGTAATTTGACACTATTCTAGATGTGTTATATTGCAATAATATAAATTTCGTTGTGTTCATTGTAATTCCTGTATTCTGATTAGCTGAATTGGTCACGTGTTAATGCATACGTTTCCCAATGAATGTAAAACATTAAGCCACGCCCACCGAGGCACACTACTTTTATTACTTCGAAATGTCAGGTATTCCCAATATTACAGTCGAGGGAATTCTCTTTCTGCTCACGTGTATCGTCATGCATAGGACATTCAGCGTCTTTCGCGCACATTCATTGTCCAAACTACCCTTTGAAACCGAAGGCCGAGAATGAATGAAACAGCAAACGTGCAGGCTCCCTCGCCTGTTTTTTTCGCTCGCCTCGGTTCAACTTTCATGTCTTCGGGTTTCATTTCTAACTAGCATTTGTCCAACTGTGTTTTACCGTAATCAGTGAAGTAATGTTTGAATCTGGCGGTATATGACCATGTAATTTGAAACAGCCGCCTTTTCCCGGACATATTTCTTCCGATTCATTACAGTCTGACTGTTGCAGTTCTTTTCGCCTCTTGCCTTAATTGACAGGTCCAATAAACATTGTTCTGATCCTGCTCTCCATTGATTGGCTACAGACTGTGTAGGCGTGTCAAGTTATGTGCATAAATTAAACGATCGCCTGATTCATGTCACGCCTAAGTATGTATTCCTACACCTGGAATGTTTATCAATCTCGTCATTTTTGTCTGTTTTGATATATACAACTGTTTTTGGTAAAACTATTGTAGATAAAGCATGTTTTACGTTGCGGATTCTTACAAAAGTTTGCACATCTGTTTTTCGATTCATGCCTCAATGAACCGAAAAAAAATACACTATCAATCCTTAAATGTTACACATCTAGAAATGTTATGTTGCAGTGTTTGCTGGACATCCGAAAGACTTGGATGACTTATTGTCCAGTTTTCAATCATTTTATTATTGTGAGGATGAGGGCTTAACGTCGCGTCCAAGATTATTGCATTTATATAGAGACGAGCCCGTGTGTGTGTATGGCTGCTTGTACTAGTCCGGACTAATGCCGATTTATAGTGCTGGCTCGCTGAGATACCATGCCACAGTTTAACATGAATACCCCACTCAGACACAGTAAACTGTGTCGACCAGTCCTTGTTTTAGCCCCTTTGTGCGGAGCGCCAGACAGGGTAACAACAAGTACAATCTCTTAACGTCTTTTGGTATGACGCGCCCTAGGGGATCGAACCCCGGACCTTCCGCTCTCCGGGCGGACGCTCTACCACTAGACCACGGAGGCGGTCATTTTATTATTGTAGACCTAAACAAACAAAATTGGTCGATACTTCTATTTCATACAACCACACTTTGACTTGATAAAGATATCATGTTAATGTATTTTTATTGTTTATATTGATAAGGAAGACGGTTAACAACGTTTAGAGGAATATATTGATACAATAATCAACACATATGACAAGCATTACATATTACGTACAGTTGACTTTAATGCTAGGATACGTACTTTCTCAGATTATATTTCACGTGATGATTTGCTTTATTTTCCAGATAAAAGTGATGATTATCCAACCGATCATTTTAACATGCCCAGAAAAACTAAGGACGAAACACAGTAAAACAAATAGGGTGTGAAACTAGGGCATTATGTTGTCTATATGGATTACATGCGCTCAATGGGAGATTAGTTTAGGATAAAAGTGGGAAGTTTACTTGCACTACTCATAACTGTGCCAGCGTGGTGGACTACTTCCTGGCAAGCACTGGCTAATTTCAACACTTCAGTGCTTTTGGTGTTCATGAAGAGATTAGTCTAACCATTTTCCTCTCTACTGTACTGTTGAGTTCAAGAACGATATTCCTTGGGCATCTGACCCATACTCAAGTTCATGTATACACAACCAATCGCAAACATGTCAAATGGTTCAAGAATCATGGATTTAACACAACTGGTCTCCAGACTTAAGCAATTTATTGATGGTTAATTTTCAAGAAAACTTCTCATCTTGTTGTGATGCTATTAACAAACCGATTGAGTCAGATGTCGAACAAAGCTTAAATACTTTTATCAAACTCTATCATATTGCAGCTGATCAGTTCAAGAGAGTATACAAAAGCAACCAGTCATGTTTTTCCTCAGCACAACCGTGGTGGGACCAGGACTTAGAAAACATAAGCAACGAGCATATGCATCTCTGAGAGCTAACAGGACAATTGGGAAGGACATTTCCATAATCATAAGAAATATTGACAAAAAGCAAAGTCAATTGTACGATTCCGAGCATGTGTTTATATCACCAAGTATATTTCCAGCCTACCAATTTACAAATGTGTGTCACGTCATTGAAGACATTAACAATGATGAAATGAATACAATGAAACTCCCTTAATCCGGACTAACCAGTCACTTCCCTGTGAAATCGTCCTGATTAACAAATGCCTTGACTAACAAGTCAAGACAATTTATTCTCCAAACCACCCACGGTGTTACATGGGCATATTTTACAGAATATCTACAATTATGGTCATAATTACAAGTGATTCAAGACATATAAATACTGGTATGGTATATTAAATACAATATGAATGGCGGGAGCTACTGGTAGGGCAGGACATGCTCAACCTCTTCGCGAACCTCTTGGTGTCATCACTGATTTTATTATTTCTCCATGATTGTGTAAATCGATTACAGATTCAACTTATTATATTAACCAATTTCGATCGACGTTATTAGGATTCTGGAATATTTCACCAAGTTGTCAACAATTTTCATTTCGTTAGTTAATCAAGAATGTTTGTGTGTATTTATACAGCTGTCAAATGTCAAGATCATACAAGATATTATATTTAATCAACTTTCAGTTTGTATTTGATGGCAGTAACTTATTATGCTTTCGGAAATTTGGATTCTTAATGATTCTCTTCTAAATTCTCCATACAACAGAGAATTTGGAATTGAGTTCCCAAAACCAGTTACTGTCTACAGGAACTTTAATTGGATTTTTTTAAGTTACTTCTAATTTTCATACCCCTAAACTTCACAACCATACATCAGTATTGGCACAACCATTACACCAAGAGCAGTTGAATAGTGCAATCTATTAGGAGATGGATCATTATGTTCTTTTCAGAAGACAAAACCTAACTTTATTTGCTGTTGATAATAGTTCTTTCATAGCTGGAGTAAATCGTTTCTTCCTAGGTAATTGTAAACCTAAATAATCATACAAATATTCAATTTATCTTCTGCAAAGAAGGTCAATCGTCTATATTTTCCTGGTCCTCCACCAAATATAACTACTTTAATTAATCATTTCCATTTTGAGCAGTAACATCTAACGACTTTTGTAAATATTTTGGGTTATCGCGAAATATAACTCTGTCACCTGCATAAATCAGGATGCAGTTTTTTAACATTAATAATAAATTTTCAACTCTAAAGCGTTCAATTTTTACACCTTCACATCCACACAGATAAGTTTCCAAGTCGTTTACGTACAGTGAAAACAATAATGACAGCTTTCACCTTGACCCACGCCCCCCCCCCCCCCCCCCAAAAAAAAAACAACACAACAACAACAAAAAACAAAAACAACAACAGCAAAACCAAACAAAAAACCAAACAAAATACCCATAAATAAACAA